TCAGAGTTTGAGAGCATCCAGGAAACTGATTGCACAACCACATGAATATAGTCAACTTCACTAAGCCACCCGTGTGGTTTACCCTTTCAAGGGGTAAATTTTGTCTGCACATTTTAAAAATTTTGTTTATTTATATTTTATATATGAGTGTTTTTGCATTATTTATATTTTATATATGAGTGCTTTGCATGTATTCTTGAATGCCAGAAGAGGATATCAAGTTCTATTCCAGATGGTTGTGGAGCCACCATGTGGGTGCTGGGAATTGAACTCAGGACCTCTGGAAGAGCAGCTAGTGTTCTTAACCTCTGAGCCATCTCTCCAGCCCTTGTTTGCACATTTTACCACAATGAACAAAAAAACAGTAAAGGACAGAATCAAGCCCATGGACAGTGCATGACCCCACACAGCAGAACCACAATAAAAACTGACATCACGAAGATGGGGAAATGACCTCAGACATGGACGAAGGTAACAATGGACATATTCTATTTACTAGAAAAGCTGTCCACGTGGCTTTATTCTTTTCCTTGAGCTCATAAATTGGTTCTGTTCTTATCTCAAGGTCAAAATTAATGAATTGATATTTGAGACAGGGTTTCACTATGTATCCCTGGCTATCATGGAACTCACTCTGTAGACCAGGCTAGCCTCAGACTTACAGAGATCTGCCTGCCTCTGCCTGCCTTGTGCTGAGATTAAAGGTGTGCACCACAACTGGCTCAAAATTTTTGTATTTCAGATTAATTTTTAGGACAGTGTGGCACTGAGCTCAGTGCATTTTTGCTGAAGCCTATTTGCTCTGACCTCTAGTGGCAGTCACAGCCAGATTCCTATAGGCTACAGAGCAGTTAAGTCCTGGGTTACAGAAGTCCATAGCCTCCAGGACTCCAGGTGTCTTCATGCGACTGAAGGGGCCTCTCTTCTGCTGAATAAAAACATATAGATACAGAAATCAATATAAAAGTGGGTCTCCAATACCACAAGGCCAGCAGAGGCTTGCCCTTCGCCATCAGGACCTCCCACCACCTCTCCACAGCAGCAGGGAGGGGAGGCAAGGTCCTCCCCGGGGTCTTGTCACTTCAGGCACTGCTTAGCAAGGGACAGTCTTTGCAGACACTCCAAGCCATGGCTGGGACAGGTAACAGCAGGACTCACAGACCAAAAGCAGGTATCAGGTCCCCTAGAACCATGAATTCCCAAAACACAGTCACCTGGATGGCTCCTGGAGCCCCTGGGTGTACAGTGTCTGTCTCTAAGCAGCCCTGAGTCACTTTGGCCTCCTCACCTGATCACCAGGTTACACCCAAGGCAAAGTCACCAAGACACAGGACAGACTGTATTTCCAACTGTGGGGCTCTGGGAGAGATAGATTCATCACCAAGGAGTTTGGTTTACTAGATCTCCATCCCAAGATTCCTGGACTTGGCCTGTTCTCTAAACTTTTGAAGGACCAGCATTCGATCCCACTGGACAGAGTGGATTTCACTTTCTACCAGGCTAAACCAACTTTTTGGGGTTAAGGAAGTAAGTAGCTCTTCCCTGAGTCAAAGCTGTGGGGTTCTGACTTTGGGGAGACTCTGCAGAGGGCTGGAGAGTTCCATGCTGGCAGGGTCACATGGCTCCATGAACTCTGCTGGAGGTTCCAGGCAGCTGCTTTGTCCCGTAGTTTAACAGCTGCTGCCGGGTTAGATCACATCTGGCACCCTAGGCTGCTCCTGAGACTCGGGCACGTGCTGCCCTCCAAACAGGCTGCCCAGGTCAGACTGAGCTGTGAGCAAGCAATAGTTTGAACGTATTACCTCCTTCCAGAGATGGAGACGGGAACCTTGGAGGCAGCTCAAAACACCCCAAGATCAAGTTCTCAGCACAAAGGAGATTTATTTGCCCCAGAGGGACAAAGGGCAGGGAATAAGAGACAAAGACAAGAGACAGAGGATGAGAGAGAAGGGGAAGAGAACAAAAGGAGGAGGGCAGGGGTATTTGTCCCAGAGTGGAGGAAAAAGGACTGTCTCTGGAGAGAAAGGAGACAGACGAAGCGCATAGGAAAATGGCAGCTTATAGGGGGCTGGAGAGATGGCTCAGCGGTTAAGAGCACTGACTGCTCTTCCCGAGGACCCGGGTTCAATTCCCAGCACCCACATGGCAGCTCACAACTGTCTGAAAATGCAGTTCCATGAGATCTGACACCTTCACACCAATGCACATAAAATAAAGTTAAATAAATCATAAAAAAAGAAAATGGCAGCTTATAAAGGGAGATGGGAAACCTCATGTTGGGATGAGGTGTTTGATTTTAATTGGGCATGTTAATTAGGTGAGCCAAAGGGGGCTTTGATTGCTGAACTTCAATACTTTGATAACTGGACCTTAGTAGTCAGACTCAGGAGGAGGAAGCAGCCAAATAAGGGACTAGACCTTGGTGGTTGGCTAGTTTTAGGAATGTAATCTAATGGTTTTTAGCAAGACAGAGGGAATGGGGGAGAAAGGCAAGGCCAGCCAGAGCCGTGTTTGCCGTGCTAGGGCTGGCTAGATCCCTTCAACAGGTCCTTCCCTGGGCGGGATCATGGGATCTTTCCAAGTCTCTTGCCTTCTCCTTCAACGTGTCTTTGAGGAGTAAGAGGGTTAATATTGACAACTTGCCGGGATTGAGGATCACCATGGAAACAAACCTCTGTGTCTGTGAGAGATTATCTGGATTAAGTTCATGGATGTCAGAACATTCCCCGGAAATGTGGGCGGGGCCGTTCTACGGGCTGAAGTCTGGGGCTCAGGTTAGCGCTAACCCATAGCTTTCCCCGCTCTCAGCTTCCTCCCTACAAAGGCAGTGTGACAGCTGTGGGGGAAACCTTTTCTGGAAACACTCTCGGCTTCAGAGGCTGAACGTTTGCCGGCCTTGCAACCGAGTTAATAATATACCTGGAGACCACTTAAAGCTATGTACTTAACCTGTTTCCCTCTGTGTATTCAGCCTGTTTATCTTGCTTTAAGAGAACAGTGTAGCCAAGCTTACTGGGCCTTGGATTTGCCCTGTAACCCACTTTTACAAGCTAAACTGAGTGCACGGTTTTACTCTCAGACCATACTCCCTCTTTCTCTTTTGTGACTCTTTCATGACCCTAAACTGTGGTGTGTGTGTGTGTGTGTGTGTGTGTGTGTGAGAGAGAGAGAGAGAGAGAGAGAGATTAGTCAAATCATTAGATGAAAGTGGAGCATTGAATACAACAATTTAGTTGTCCACCTAAATGATGGAAACAGCACATAGATGTAGATTGACAGCATCTGTCTGCAGTTTGGCGTGCTATTCTGGGACGCTAGGGTTCAATAAAGTCAATTCTTCCCTTGTAAACTCTGGTTTAAAGGAATTAACTCAGGCGATTCCTCAATCCTTTCCTATGCCACGTTTTCTGTGTTGTTCAATTAATACAGAGCCAAGCCCTTAGGGGCAGACAATGGACGTAGGAAGAGAAGTCAAGAACTCCCATTTGGGATCGCTCTTGGTACAGATTGTCCCAAGAGGAAGACTCTCATCTGAGGTGGCACTGTCTCAACCAGCTGCCCCAAGCTTCTGTTGCCATGACTTCCCCACCGTAAGGGACTGTGCCCTCAAGCTACAAGCCAGAACAAACCTTTGTTTTTGTGTTGGGTATTTGGTCACAGAAACGAGAAAAGTCACTAAAACTGTGGCAAAGCATTAGACGCAAGTGACCCCTCCACGGCTATGTATCCTCCTGGGAACATTCATGATGGGACAAGGGGAGCCCCTGGGTATGCTGACCAGGGCAGTATAGACCAGGGCAGCCTGGCTTGACACTTATCTCCCATCCTCAGCTAGGAAACCAGTCGAATAGCAGGTTTCTGTACTTGATCCAGTAACTCATTTCTGGCTCTCCTGTTATGAAACAAAGCAGAAACCTCACCAGAGCATTTGACTGTCCATTTCTGGTGTGGCTATTGAAGCTAACGACAGTTGGTTTCTTCAGGCTGCCCCGTAGTCCCTACTCAGATCGGGGGGAAATCCTGCTGATTGTCCTATAACATGGTGACATCAGGACCTCGGGTGGAAACACATATCTTTCAGCTAGTTATTAAGAAGCCAGTCACAGGAGAAAAAGTGGGGGAGTTCTTTTTGCGGGACTATGCAAAAAGTGATGCTTCAATTCCATGGGTGGCCTGCAGGGGGCAGCATCTCTCTAGAAATGACTCCACTGCCTACTCAGAAACGCAGCAGGAAGTAACACATTTAATTAATTGGCCAATGAATAAGAGTTACTTTTAGAAATTGCTACATAATATTAATACCATCTATCATGTCAATATGTTTCCAGTGAGTAATTCCAGCCGTCCAGATTTTTATATACAGATGCTGCGTGTGCATATGCTGTGTTAGGTATGTTTGGAGATAACCCAGACTTGTCTGAGGATGCGCCGTACCAAGTGAGAATGGGAGGTAATGAACTAGGGAATTGGTTGATGCTTGTGACCAGACCCCCCTGCTGCGATTTGAGGCTGTCTCCTCCCAGACTCCTGTTAAAACCTAATTGCTATTACCACAGTGTTAAGAGTGGGACCTCAGAGGTTTAGGGGGGCTCTGCAGGAGTGAGGCAACATGGCAGCGGGTTTTGGCAGCTTTGTCTTGAGACAGGGTCTCAGTGTGTACCCCAGACTGACTTTGATCTCAAACTTGAGGTGGGCCCCCTGCCTCAGCCCCTTGAATGCTGAGATTACAGCCCAGTGGCTTTCATACCTCATAAAGTACTTAGTCCAGCTGGGTGTGTAGCTCAGGTTACCCTCAGTGGCCCTGAGTTCAAGGCCAGCCTGAGCTGTGTAACACCCTGAATAAAAACAGGATACGATACACACTCGCAGCTGCTCTGTTATAGCAGAACTTTTTTTTTTTTTCTGGTTAATAGCTTGCCCAGGAAAACCAAAACGCATTTGAAATTTTCCCCAAGAGCAAACCATTATTAATTCTTTAAAAACAAACAAAAACAGTAATCTTAGTTTTATAAATCTTCATTTCAAAATCCATTCCACATACATATATTATCTAGACAAGCGCCAGGTCTATGCGTGTTTATATACATTTAAAGCTTCATATTTACACACAAATGCAGACTCCAAAGCACCCTACCTGAGACCACCCCCACCAAAAAGGACTGCTGAGGACAGGGTAGCCTGGGCCTTGGCGAGGGCTCCTCTCGGGGCCTGCTTCTCCTGTCCCTCCCTCACACTTCCAGTCTTTCAAAGAACAAAATATGGGCGCCTTTGTTCCACCAGTGTCTGAGCACCCAGCCCCTTTTAACCACTTTTTAAAAGACTTATTTATCCCATGTGTATGAATGCTTTGTATGTATGTATGTACACGCACCGTGTGAGTGTCCGGTGCCTGTGGAGGTCAGAAGAGGGCGTTGGATCTCCTGGCAGTGGACTTACGGGTGGTTGTGAGACACCATGTGGGTGCTGGCAAGCAAATCTGGGTCCTCTGTAAGAGAACCAAGGGTTCTTAACCACGAAGCCGTATCTCTCCCCCACCCCCATCTTGTTTGGAAAGAATGATCTCAGGCAGCTTTGTGAGGGATGGGCCCCGAGGACTGTCAGAGACGAGGAACACGGTCCACAGTCCTTGGCCTCCTGAAAGGTGGAGATCTTCCACAAAACCTGCAGGCTGGTGTTAGTGCCACTGTGACAACAGTGAACCAACCCGCGGCTACTGGCTCACCGCAGACCCAAGTTCCCCTGTGGTGGGTTCATGGCTGTGCTAATTCACTGAGTGAAGCAGCTGCAGGGAGTGGAGACAGACAGGTGAGCCAGCTGGGAGGGAGACACAGCTCTGTGATCTCCGGGCAGCAGCATCACAAGAGCCCGAGGCAGCTGTAGCTCTGCCTGACTGTGGATAATACAGGAGCCTCGGCTGCCTTGCTCCTGATCCAGCTGTGCGGACTTCAGGGGAAAAGCCCCCCCCCCCCCCCCGGAGTCGAGGGCTCCCAATCAGGGCTGGGAAAGAACCAAGTGGGATCACGCGCTTCTCCCGCTCCTCTTACAGGTTGTTGGGGCTGTGTATGGAGAAGACCACTTGCAAATAGGAGGGCAGCCCCCAGGAAACAGATACCGCAGAGAGGGTATGGGTGCTGTGAGCCTGGGGTTGTGTCTTAGGGCCTACTCTTCCCTCTCCAAGGACATGGAATAAGTGAGGGGCCCGGACAAAAGTTGCAGAGAGGAACAGGGGTAAAGAGAGTTTGAGGGTGTCCCGTGACCAGGGGCAGAGCAGCAGAGACACAGATGGGTATGGTGGGTACCAGGGAAGTCTTTCAGTCCTCAGCTAGTGGGCAGGCCCTGCGTGTCCTTGCGGGATAAACATTTTCTTTTCCAGACCAACGGACACTACACATGGTCAGGGCTCATCATTACAACCAGGTAGTACCCAGTGTGGACCCACCCACCCAGAGGAGACCCAAGGTCAGGGCTTCAGCCTGGAGAGATGGCTCAGTTGTTAAGAGCACACTTGTGATTCTTCCAGAGGACCCAGATTCAATTCCCAGCACCCAAATAGTAGCTCACGACCATCCATAACTTCAGCTCCAGGGGCTCAACACTTCCTTCTGATCTCCAAGGTCAGGACTTGGTGAATGAGTGTACGCCTTCCTGGTGGTGCCCTGGCAGAGAGGAGCCAAGAGGAGTCAGGCTTCCTCCCTCCCCTACCAAGGAGGTGGAGGAGGATTCCCATCATTTCCCTCCCCGAGGGAGCGCAGAGGCCCCAGGCTGGGTGGCCATGATGTGGTAGATGGATTCCCGGAAGCGCTGGTCTCGGCTTAGCCGCTTGGCCACCTCCTTTAGCTCTTCTATGTTGTTGGCTTCTAGCTGGGAGGCCATGAAGGACTGAGAAGGCTTCACTGGGGAGACAAAGACCCATTGCCCCGTGAATGGCACTCCCCCTTGGCTGAGCCCACCCTTCCTCCCTCATCCCAGCCCTACGTGCTGGTGCCTCCTGCCAAAGGCTGGTAGAGCCAGGTTCAAGAACATATTATCCAGCCTGTCTACTTGGTCTCAAACCTGTTGTCTTCCTGCCTTGCCGCCAATAGCCTACGCTACCTGACCCCACGCAGGCATATGAGTGCTCACTGTCATTCCAGGAAGTACTGGACCGGCGACGGTGGAAACGGCAGCTCTTGATGCGGCGAGTGGCTGCCTTATGGATGTACACGGAGTTCTTCATGATGACCGGCATCTTGGCCTCCAGCTCTGCATTCCGGATGCATTCTTCAAAGAACCCTGTGGTGGCGGGAAGCAGCCATTTAGTGTATCTTTTTCTGGGCCTGTCCTTCCCCACCTAAGTGCTCATTTGGTCAGGTGGGAGATACGTTGATCTGTCCTTGACAGAACACAGTTCCTCCACACACCACACACAGTCTGTAGCTAGCACAGAGAAGATCTGCTGGGAACAGAGCTTTTGAAAAGAGGACAAAACTCCAGGCTTTCCTCACCCCAGGCCCAACTGCCACAAAGCGGCAGTGCTAAAGGGGGCTCCTACAGGACAGTGTCTGGTGTCCGTAATAAGAACTCCAGGAAGGATCACCTCACACACGCAGGGCCTGTTCCAGGTTCTGACGGGTTTGGGATTAAGGGGCTGAGCTCCGGGATTGGGGCTGGGCCCTGAAGGGAGGCCTTACTTTTCAGGTGGCTCACGTCAGCCCGCATCCTCTCTTCCTTCTCCTTGTTCCGAACCTTGGAATTAAGCCCTTGTTCCAGGCTTCTCAAGGCTGCCTCTGCCTCTCGGAGTCGTCTCTCCAGGTCCATGCGCACCTTCACTTCAGCCTAAATGGCGGGACAAGCGAGAGGGAAGCTGAGTCCAGGAAGCAGTCGCCACCTCCCCCAGAGCCTTCCGTGATGGCTTGTTTTCTTTGTTAATTCAACCCGATTTAGGGTTACCTACGAGACCCACGGTGTGAGGGCATCTCCAGAAAGGTTTAACCAACCGAGGATGCACCCTGGGTGTGGGTGGCACTGTCCCACGGGTTGGGGTGCCAAACTGAATAAAAAAGGAAGGGGGAGAAGGTGTAGATTCGTCTCTCTGCTTCCTGACTGCAGACACAATGTCACCAGCTGCCTCACTCCCACCATCATGCCTTCCCTATCATGACAGACTGCATCCCCTAAACCACGAGCCATCCTTCCGTTAGCTGCTTTTGATAGAAACGTCATCATAGCAATGAGAAAAATGGTTAGTATCCCTTTCCCTATCATCCTGGGCTCAAAGGTCTTGGGTGGGCGTTTCCACGTCTTGGTTCCACACCTTACCCAGGACCCAGATGGCTGGGCATGGCCCTGTTGCTAACACTTGACTATCAATGATAGAGAGATTGCTGCCTCCTGTGATAAGCCCGCCCCTGAATCTGGCCAGCTGGCCATTCTGGGAGAGGAGTGTAGGGTAGCTGTGAAGAACAGGGACGGGCAGGCATCCCCGGCCGTGTGGAAGGGCCCAGAGCTCAAGGCCCATGCGGGCTGCACACCTTGAGCTCCCGCTCAGCCTGCTGCTTCTCTGCGGTCAGCTCCTGAAGTGAGTTCTGCAGGGCTTGAGACTGGCTTGAGTAGAACTCCCGCTCCTCCTCCAGGGCCCTTGAGCGTTCTTCATTCTCCTTCATCCTGTGGGCAGGAGGGGAGCTCACCCAGGGGTCGCTTACAAAGGGGGTTGCCCCTGCCAGAGGCATGGCTAGAGAAGGGCTGCGTCCTCTCTGGGTCCAGTCAGATAGGGGATGAGGGAGGTGATGTGGAGAGACGGGAGCCCTAGACGTAGAGGTGCAGGGATTGCTACTTCCCTGACCTCGGGAAATCCTCCAACCCCAGCGAGGCTCAGTTTCTTCATGGGTTGGGTGGACAGCCGCTAAGGGAACCTGCTGGCCAGCCACGGGCACTGCTCTGAGGACTTGATGATGCTCTGAATGATTTGTCAAGACAACTTTGGGAAAGCCAGGTCATGGGCAAAAAGGAAGTGACCCGTCTTGTCAATGACAGCTGGAATTCAAATCCAGTTGTATAACTTGAGGGTAGTCACAGCTCCCAAGCTGCTGGAGGACCCAGTGGTCTCGGGTGCCTCACCGCTTCTCTGCTAGAAGCTTCTCTGCCAAAAGCTCCTGCATCCGCTCTTCAATCTGCCTGAGGTTGCTATGGAGACCATCACTGGCAAGTGGCTGCTCACTCTGATTGGCCGATGGCTGTGGCTGGTTCTTATCTTCCTCCAGCATCTCTAGGGTTTTCTTCTTCTCTAGGGAGAGTTCCTGGTGCAAAGGCAGGGAAGGGTGAGAAGGAGCATGGGTTAACCCTCCAGCGTGACTGTCCTGGTCTCCTTGCAATTCCGAGGAGTGACCGACTCCTCCCTTGGTCCTCCATGCTGAGCACCTTACACGCCTGATTCCAAGATCTCCTTTCTTACAACATGGCCAGGTTACTCCTCTATCAAGACAGACAGACAAACAAGGAGGAACCCAATGTGACTTCCAAGAGAGAGGGTACCTATCAGGGCCAGGTCCCAAGGCCTCAGGGCAACATGACCCTATGAGGTCCTTGTTCCTCGAGGAGAAGGGAGATGTTACTGGGCTCATGTGAAGATGCCCGAAAGGACCAGCACAAGAGTTCTCTGCACTATCAGCCAGGATCGTAACACCACAAGGAAACTCTGGGGTTGGAAATACCCATGGTAATCACTCCCCATACCAGGGAAAGCTAAACAAACCAAGGCTCCGGTCACTCCAGGGAGACTAAAACTCTCGCAGCCTTCACGACACTTCATGGATTCAACTAAGATGTACGGTCCCAAGCTCCCTTCAGGTGCTGGACTTCGGGAAATGGCTAAGACACGGCCAAGTGAAGTCCACAGTTTTGAAAATTCAACCCAGCGTGTTAATTCATGGATGTACAAATTCACTGGAACACAGAGCAAATACCTGCCCAGAAGAATCAAGGAAGCTTGACTACAGAGATGTTTTAGCTTAGTCTGAAGACAAACAGTTGCCAAAGAAGAGACAAAAAGATATACGTTGTGTAAAAGCAATGGTAGGGTGGAGGTGTGTGTGTGTGTGTGTGTGTGTGTGTGTCAAAAACCTTGTTTTCCTTAGGGACATGCTCTCAAGTAGTTGGAGCAGGGGCAAGGGATGAAAGGGTAGCAGGGAAGGAGGGGGGGGTTGTACTTGCATGCTATGCTAAGAAGCTAGGCCTCTGTCCTTGACACATGCTGCTTGCCCCTGCCCCTCCGCACCTGCCCCTCCCAGTCTCTTGTATCAGATGAAGGTGACCTGGAAGTCAATTTCCCCTAATGCTCAGTTTCACCCAGGAGCGGCTAAGTGAAGGAACCACAGAAGGATGTGGTGAGTGAGGCTATCACCCACTCTGATCAATCCGGTCTCTGGTATAACCCCAGCACTAAGAGAGCAGGTTTCCTGAGGCCACGGTCATCACAAGGGCAAGCTGGAACATTTGTTCTGGGTCTGGGAGGAACCAGTCCTGTGCCAGACAGAGCTCCCGACCATCCACAGGCGGGGTCCTTCAGATAGACTCCTCTTCACGCTCATTCTCCTGTGGGTACCTTCCCTGGGAGATATATGGGAAATCCAGTATTATATAGCCCCACCCACCAGCTCGCCTCCTGGGCAAGCAGCCCCCTCACCTCCAGCGTGTGCTGTAAGGATTCCGTGAGGTGCCTCAGCTCCTTCTTCTCCTGTTCTACACCCTTGAGGCATCTTGCGGTGAGTTCGAGCTCCCTGTGGGGATGGAGAGCTGGAATGGCAGCCAGCACCCTCCCCAGCCTCTGCACGCAACCGTACCTGATGCAGCTCAGCAGGGCCCGTGGACAGCCAGCGCTCTGCAACGCTGGGCACTGAAAACAGCTGCAGAGTCAGGGCTGCAAGGGCGGCTCAGCCAAATGAGGTGGGTTCCCTAACCAGGTACAGTAAGGTCCTGCAGCCGGGGACTTAGCTTCCAATTCAGTGTCTAACAAGTACTTAGGGAGATTCTCTTATTTGTATGATAATTAGAGAAAAAAAAGAGTCTCTATTCCTTCCCCCCATATATAACCAAATGACTCCCTTTAATAAGGTGCTTCTGGGCTGTCACTGATACTCCGTGGTGGTGGTGGTGGAGATGGGGATGGTGGAGGGGGTGGTGATGATGATGGTGGTGATAGCATTGCTATGACCCCGACCGAGCACCATCCATCACAGAAGTAGTTTCCAAATTCTGGATAGACTACATCTGAATCGCCTGGGCTGGGGATATACACAGGTCCTACATTCACGAGAGTATAATGCAATTAATGCCTAGAAGGGGCAACTAGATGGGTAAATAATACCTCAGACAAAAGATCCCAATGAGTCATTAACTAAAGTGCGGAAGGACCGCAGGAAAGATGGAGAACGCTGGGGGCATTTTTTGGGCAGCACTTCTAGGCCAGGCCAGTTTGCTGCCAATAACTTGGCTCTGGCAAAGGTAGGAGGGGCTTGGTCCATGGGGGAGACTGACCTGCACTCACCCACATCTCACACTCTTGTTCATACCATTGCAAGAGTGATGGGAAATGACCTACTAGGGATGGAGAGATGGCTCAGCTGTTAAAGGCCAGGCTCCCAACCAAAATTATAAGAAATGACCTACTGAGGGGGGTGGTTATTTTCTGGGCATACTCAAGATCTGGAGCATTGGAAAGATCAGGTCATAAGTGGTTTCCTGGCAAAGCCTTCTCCAGGTCTGACTGCACATGGCTGCCAAGGCTAGAAAATCCCCCCTGTTGTCCCTCACAGGGCCAGGGCATCCCCGTGTTGCCTTCCCCACCCCCCACCCACCCACCAGCATTGCCCATCCCAGGGCCTGGGCAATTCCATCCCTTCCTATCCCTCCCAGGGTCTGGGCATTCCCCGTTGCCCCGCCCCCCCGGCATGCCCCGCCCCCGCTGCCCGCCCCCAGGCCCTAGGTCACCTCTTGATCTGCTCTTGCTCAACTCTCAGCTCTTGCACCACCTCCTCGAATTGCTGTTTCTCAGCCTCCAGCACCTGGTTCAGGCGCTCAAGCTCCTGAATTGAAGAGGAAAGTCAGAGGAGACACAGGGCTCCTAGGCTCAGGACGACCCCTCCTTTCGCTAGCCCAGGGGACACCCCAGGGTTTGGATCAGTCTGGGGCATAAGGACAAGCTTGTAAGTTCCGAGGAGCCCAGGCTCCATTCAGCGCACGCGGTCTCAACTAACCCCAAAATATGATGAAGCTGGCCGTGAAAACGGTTAGCAAGAGGAAGGACAGACAGATTTAGAAATGATCCCAACAAGGGTCTTCCGACAGATGTGACTGTAATTCTGGATGTTGTTCCACTGGGCAACATGAAACTGTCTTCTCATTTTCCAGTTCCAAACTACTCTCTGGTCACCTGGGGGCTTTGTTCTCAAGCAGAATGGCATCCTTGCTAGGGAGGGGCACTGCCTATGGAGGGTGATGTTGCCACTGACTTTGAAGAGATTCAGATGGGGAAGAAAATATATAGAGGGGAGTATCTGATTTTAATTCCCACACCTAGGTTTCTTACCCACGTAAGTTACTTCTTTCTCATCTAATCTTTCCTGGTACCTGCTTACAAACTGCCTCAGTTTGCTAATGTGGTCACCACCTGGACAACTCCCTGGCGTTCCGGTGCCCCTGGGCACATGCCCGGCTACAGTACACTGGGTATAGGTAGCTGGGCTCGTGGGAGTAGCTGAGGCCGATGGAATGTGAGCAGGAGGGCAGATAGCTTTTGAAAAGATGATACATGGTAGGCTATGGTTCCTTTCCCCTGGCACAGGTAGGGGTCCCCTTAGCCTGGATCCCCAGGAATGAGGACAGATGAAACAGAGCTCCGACCAGTCCAAGTAGCTGTGTGAGAAAACACGTTTGTGCTGTTAAAAGCCATGGGCATATGGGGGCTTTTGGTTACTGCAGAAGCCATGACCTATCCTATGGCTATATTTGACATATCTAGATAAGATACAAATGAAATTTGTATTCTTGCACATATACCCCCTCCCACAACTAAAGAAAACTTCAGACCTTAAAAAAAACAACATATATATGAAGCCGGGCGGTGGTGGTGCACGCCTTTAATTCCAGCTCTCGAGAGGCAGAGGCAGACAGATCTCTGTGAGTTTGAGGCCAGCCTGGCCTACAAGAGCTAGTTTCAGGACAGGCTCCAAAGCTACAGAGAAACCCTGTCTCGAACCCCCCCCCCCCCAATCAGAAACTCTGTGTCAGTTTTGAACAACCTACAAAAAGCAGATACAAAAACATTGGCAAATAATGGGAGGTTTTGTGGAAATCTTCACAGGGAACCAATAGCAGGGCTCACCTTGTTCAGGCAACAAAACTCTGCCCCTCTCCCCACCTCTCGAGTCTCCCCTGTGCTTGTTCAAACTTTCCCTCCCTTCAACAGCTGCCTCACTCCCAACCTTTACCAAACTTTCTTCCAGGATCTCTCTAAGTCTCGGAGACCTGTGGAACCCAGCCCACAAAATAAGGGCTAGCACACGGTCCTGAGCCAAACAGAAGACCCGCGGGGCCAAGGGCAGCAGCCAGCATCTGGTCAGTCCAGGTTGCTACAGCGCACTTGGAGAAGCAGGCAACCCGTGTTGCCCACCAGGTCCATTTCAGCCCAAATCTGCCTCCCTCCCAGCTTCCCTCACCGAATCCAGCTTCTCCTTGGACCATCAAATACGACTAATTTCTTTTCCCTTCAGGTATTTAGAAAGAAACAGTGTGTTCCCAAGTCTCCTGTCCTCCAAGCTAAACACATCTTGTTTGCCATGCTTCACAGACAGTGATTTCTTGTCCTCAATAAAACTAATTACATCCGAGAAAAGAATGCAGCTGCAGGGGCCCCCGCTCAGGAAGCCTTGATACAGAGAGGATTCTTCGCAAGGAATTTACAGGCCCAGTGCAATTCCAGGAAATAGCCCAGTGAGATTCTTTTCTATTCATCCATGCTACATCTATTTACCAAGCACATACTATGTTCCAAGCTCCTGCTGGGCTCCGCGTGGAGGATCTGAAGATGTTCTTATGGAGCCCGTGGCCGAGCGTAGCTACTGGGAAACCCTGCCCAGGATTTTAGAGCAAATGTAGGAATCCAGTAGTGCTGAAATAATCAACCATCTCAGAGAATACTACAAAACAAGATACATGTCCTTCAGGACAGGGACACAGTTCCAGGCCAAGCTCTCCGGGATGGAAGTAGAACAGAAAACTCCACGGAGGTGAGAAGAGGGGCAATCAGTTGATTCTTGAGTTGAGAGACAAAGATGGGCAGATAAATGGGTTGGAGATTTAGCTCAGTGGCTTGCCTAGTAAATACTGGAGGAAAGAACATTCCAGATGGAAGGAATAGTACATACAAAGCCCCCATGGAAACATGTTGCCTGGAAGAACTAAGCCAGGCCTAGATGAGACATGAGGGCAAATACGATGGGAGAGAGACTGGATCAGAGAAGCAGGGAGGCTGGCAAAGGAGACGCTGGAGGTCATCTCTGACTTGGGTGAGGATCTTACTGAGTTTTGGGTGTTTTTTGTTTGTTTGTTTTCCCTGAACAAGAAGCAAAGAACATTTTGTTGTTTGGTCATTTTGTTTAGATATATAGTGAGACAGACTATCCCAGACTGGCCTTGAATATGTTCCCCAGTCCAGTCCAGCCTTAAATTCACAATCCTCTAGCCTCTGCCTACTGAGTGCTGGGATTGCAGCTGTGCACCGTTGCAGCAGCTGCAGTGAACGTTCTGAGAACAGACGGATGGTGATGCACTTTCTTTTCCCTTTAACCACTGAGTTGGCTACCTTGTAGAGGAAGAGACAAGGACGTAGAAACAGTTTAAGGGCACCAGATAGGAGGTGGTGGCACCAGTACCTGCTAGTGGTGGCTCTTAGAAGTAGGGTGGGAAAGAGAGGAAGGAGGGAGGACAGGGTGAATGAAGCATGATCCCCAAGTTCCTGGCTTGAATAAACCATGGGTGGTACATACCCTGAGATGGGCATGTGAGAGGAAACCCAGTCCTTTCTAGGAAAGGTAAAGGCAAGACATCTTGATCTCAGACAAGGTGTGCTCTCAGCATCTTTGGAAGTCTGGCTGGGATGTGAAGTCAGCTGTTGGGAAGCAGAGGATGGACGGCAACAGAAGGAAGGGACTGGGGATATCATCCTGGGAGTCATTTGCACACAAATAGCAAAATGTAGTGAGGGACTGTAGGCTAGACAGCCTTAAGATCTAGAGCAGAGAGAGGAGGGGAAGTTCAAGTACTGTGCAAGGCAACACGGTCTGCAGAGTTGCTGGGATGGCCGCACAAGTTCATTCACACAGACTGCTTGTAATTTAGAAAGTGCTTATCACGTGCCCACCAGGCCAGGCTTTCAATCTTAGCACTCAGAAGGCAGAGGCACATGGATCCCTGTGAGTCAGAGGCCATTCTGGTCTGTGTACTAAGTTTCAGGCCAGTCAAGACAACACAGAGAGACCCTGTCTCAAGATGAGGTATAATACATAGTTTGAAGAGACTATCAGAGTCAGATGGGAAGACTGTTAAAATTATCAGACCAGGAATTAAAAACAAACCCAACTGTAGGTTATCTGCTAAAGACTTTACTAGAAAAAAATAGTTATGTAAAAACAGATGACTAATATATGTAGGGAGATGGGATTTTTACACACATATGCACACACACACATACACGTGCGCGCAAACGCATGTGCACACACACTCCAAATTCAAGATTCAAAACACGAGACAATTAAACAATCGCCAAGTGTGATGGTGTGTTCTTGTGATCCCAGAACTCAGGAGGAGGACGCAGGAAACAAAGATGATCAGGAGTTCAAGGCTGACATAAACTACATCTCACTCTGCCTCACAAAGCAAGCAAGAAAAGAAAACCCAAAGCAAAATAATAAAGCCACACCAGGAAACAATAAAGAATGTCTTTGCTGAGAGAAACTCCTAACTACACCAGAGAGCTTGCTTTTCATGCCTTCCCACGTGTGTACAAGGCAGGACACAGCGTACACCATCAACTGGCAGCTGCCTATAGAAGAGGCCTCAGAATAAAACAGTCCTTTTGACAACTTGATTTTTCATTTTCTAGTCTCCAGAACTCTGTGAAATATATTGCTCTTGTTGAAGCCACTTGGCCTGATTTTTTCATGGTAGATTAAACTGAATAAAATCAATAAACCACACTATTCAATGATGGCAATATTCCATCAGGATCAATGAGCCGCACCATTCAACAAGGGCAATATTCCACATTATTCCCAAGCTCGCAGAGAATATTCACCAATAGAGTCTGGACTCTGCAGGAGGAGAACAGCTTAACAAATTTAAAAAACTAGAAACCACATAATGCTTGATTTTAAGCAATAATGAGATTATACTAGAAACTAAGAACAAAACAATAGCAAGAAAATCCACAGTGATTGGCGATTAAACAATATTTTCCTGAGTAACAGGAGCTGAAGAAGTGATTTCAAGAGAACTCCCCCCAGATTAAATATTGAGAACTAAGTCTTAAAAAAAAAAAGTAACATTCCTTGTCACTTATCCAAGTGAACTGACAGTGTCTGCCCACACAAAAACTATCTCTGAGAGTTCATAGCAGCTTCACTCAACCCAGAGGTCCGCCTGTGGGAAAAGAGATAAACCAAGGTATACACCCAGGTAACAAATTTATTCAGCTCTGAGAAGAAATCAGTATTCAAGCCATGGAAAGTCATGGTGGTCGCTTAAATGTACCTCACTGAGTGAAGGATGGTGAACTGAGAAGTCGCGTGTGGCATGCGACTCCAACTCCATGAGCTCTGGAAAGAGCGAAACTTGGAGACAGTAAGAAGATCAGTGGTTTCTGGGTTAGGGGTGGGAGAGATGAACACACTGGAACACAGGATTCTTAAGGCAGTGAAACTATTATTTGTGATATCCCAGTGGGGAATTAGTGGTGTTTTACACCTGTCAACAACTACAGAATGTGCTATACTGAGTAAAGCCCGCTTGGTGGTGGTGCCACACGCCTTTAATCCCAGAGCGTGGGACACAGAGGCAGGCGGATCTCTGTGAGTCTGAGGTCAGCCTGGTCTATAAGAGCTAGTTCCAGGACAGCCAGGGCTACACAGAGAAACCCTGTCTTGAAAGAACAGAGAGAGAAGGAGAGAAGCCTGATGGCCCTAGCAGATATGCCTGGCAGCTCCCCATGAATTCTGGGCTGAAAACACTTAGGCTAAGAGCCCAAGGATCTCTCTTGGAAAATGCCATGGCTACAGGTACATGGCCACACCATCACATGGAATATTTGCCTGAATTCTAGTCTGTTTAGCTTCTCGGTGACCCAGAAGAACACAAAGAAGCAATTGCTTTTATTAAGCATTGGAGATGAACACAACGTCCAGAGGAATCAGATGACAATCACACCAGAAGTGTTGGAGCTGAGACCCTACCGGGTCTCCTGGCTGTAGATTCTAAGGTTCCCTACAGTTCAGACTATCTCCCAGAAACCTCATACTTATCAGAAGAACCATCTTGCCTCTGGGATACAGAATTCTTGCTATGTAGCCCCAAACCCCTTTGCCAATTTTGGATCTAGGAGGGGAAGGTACTTGGGACAAGTAGACCTACCCTATAGGTGAGCTACCTAAGGAAGAAAAACATTCAGGCACAGGGGCTCAGTGTGACCAGACCAGGAGCAGAATGTGGGCTCTGTTTCTGGCCTAGAGCACATCACCGACAGGGAGCTTGACCCTCGTGTGGTTCTCTTCCTGCTGCCCGCTCCAAGCATCCCCCACCATACCAACATCTGGGCTTGCACCTTACTCATATTCTGTAGCTGCCAGCGTCCCACTTCAGTGTGGCATTCGGGAGGCCTGTGTGCCCTGGGTCTCTGCTGCCCTAATTTCCAAGCTAAGACCTAAATAATGTGTCTAAATTTTCCTCGGGCCAATTTCTGCCCCAGATTCAACCTCTGTTGGCTAAGTCTCCTCGCCCCATCGGGGGCGGTGTCTCCCACTCCATCCCATGCTGGGTCTCCCAAGTCACCTGTCCTTAAAGTTTCTGACAGTATACCAAAGTCTCCCTTTAAATGCACAGGATACTATGGAGAAAAAGACCAAACTCTAACGGAATCTAGATGAGAGTGTGCAAACCTTAGGGTTCAAACTCACTATGGTGAGACCAACTCAGGGTCCTACTCCCTTATTTGCTCTTCCTAGGCACTGGGCACACATGTGGTGCACTGACATGCATGCAGGCAAAACACCCACACACATAAAATACTTTTGGGGGGGGGTTGAGACAGGGTTTCTCTGTGAAACGGTCCTGGCTGTCCTGGAATTCGCTTTGTAGACCAGGCTGACCTAGAACTCACAGAGATCCACCTGCCTCTGCCTCCTTAGTGCTGGGATTAAAGGTGTGTGCCACCATTGCCCGGCCATAAAATACTTTTTAAAGACACTTAATCCCATTTTCTACTCCAAATTAAAACCTTAAACCTTGTTTTTCTTTTATTTGTAATCAACAAAAGGACTCTAAAGTCTATTTGGAAGGCTTAAATGGGCACAGGAGGTGAAATTTTGGGAGAAAAAATGGAAGTGGAGTCCTAGTGGCTTGAAATGAAGCCATAATGTAAAGCTGCCAGAATCAAGTTGGCTTGGCCTTGATTCGTTCCATGGTTGCCATACTTTCCTCTTAAACTGGGTGCTGTGGCAGGACCTGAGGGTTTGAGACTTGTATTTCTGACTTCAGGACGTGTTTGAGAGTCCCATGAGGGGGGACGGGTGAGAAAGGAGCGGAACTCCTGAGCTGAGTCAGTCAGGCACTGAGCTACAGCTGATGGCCTCAGCCCTGTGGCTGACCTGGAAGAGGACAGTGAAAAGGGACAAGGCTGAAGGCAGGGGATTGGGTCAGTCTCTGCCGTGAAGGCTCCTGTGAGCACCACTCTGCCAGGCCAGGCCTCATCCATGCAGGAGTGGCCCATAATTGATAATAACATGAGCATCCCACAAGCTGAGAAAAACAGCTGGTCACTGAGCACGCACTGCACGCACAGTGTGCCAAATGCTTTCAGTATAACATCGTGTTTCATCTTTACAACATCCCTGAAAGGATGGATTTCATTGTTTTCCTCGGGTTTTTGGATGAGAATATTGACATTCAGAGAGGTTAAGTAACTTGTCAGGGACCATCAAGTTGGAAGGACTAAGACCACATACAACCCCAGGAAGCTGACTCCAGGGCCCTCGGCTTACTTACCAAGTGCCCTGCCCTTCAGGTGTGGGGACGGAACAAATGGTCAAATGATTGAGACAAGAGTCCCCTTGGCCTTCAGGCTGCTTTAAATCTGTGTGAGCCTCCACAAGGCTGTACTGCTGGTGCCAATAGGATGAAGGGATCTCGGATGTTCTCAGACCCCATCACTCTTATGTACCAGAAGCCCCCACCCCAAAACCGAGGCCATTACATCCTCCTATGGATACCAGTAAAGCTGCCTATGAAGTATTCAGGCGGCTTTGTCTCTAAGACCTGCTCACTCATTCTTTTCCAGAGGGCTCATGGGAGAAATGTTGCTTCCCACCAAGATGCTGCAGCAAGATGAAGACACTGTCCTCTGGTGGCCTCGCTGCTCCATCCCATCTCTGAGGTCCCTCAGGCAAGTCTCTGGATGCCTAGTGCCCCCCACCACTAGTACCATCCCCTAATGTGGTGGTTCTCAACCTTCCTAATGCTGAGACCCTTAATTACAGTTCCTCACATTGTGGGGCCCCCCAACTATATCATTATTTTTGTTGCTATTTCAAAACTGTAAGTTTGCTAATGTTATGAACCAAACTGTAAATATCCATGTTTACGGATGGTCTTCGGTGACCCCCGTGAAAGAGTCATTTGACGCCCCTGCCCAAGGGGTTGTGGCTCACTGGGTGAGAACTACTGCCCTAATGGCAGCCATGAGGGGGAGCTGAGTCTTCCTGCGCAGTCACACTGCTGCTTACCTCCCTCTGCTCCCTCTGAAGGCACAGTTCTTCCGTCTCCTCCATCAGCTTGTCTGCCAAGGCAAACACACACTCACTGAAAACAGCAGGGGTCCCGAAGGCAGGGGCCTTAGGTGGCCTCTGTCACCTAAGCCATCTCCCAGGGAAGGGGTCTGCCCTCCTAGTTCAGAGGTGGGGTCCTGCTCTGCTGAGCGGAAGCTGTCCCACTGGCCCGAGCTGCCTTTCGGGTCATCTTCCCTGTGCTGTGCACGCATAGATCCACAGAGGACTTGACCGCGGAGGCTCGGGTGGGTTTTCAAAGCCTGTGGTCTCTGCGGTTTTCTATTGCTGGCACTAATGCCTGGTTAGTCAGAGAGGACACATTCCAGGTAAGGGACAGGTACTTAGAGCAGGCAGTGAGGAGCCGGGGCCCTGGATGTCTCAGCCGGCTCCCAGGAAGAGGATCAACCCAGGCTCATCCATCTCCCCATGTCATTGAGGGTGTCATTGAGCAGACAGAGCATGGGGGCTGGATCCCTGCAGCTAGGCTTAAAGTGACTTTGGTTAGCGATGAAGAGGATAGGCACAGGACTTGAGACTCAGGCAGGATAATATTTTTTCCACTTTTAGGTCCTTCAGCCGAAGGCCTGACACGTTCACACACCCAAGGATTTTCCCTTTAAACTGCTCTCCACCCCATGTCTAACACGAGGGACCATTTTGGTCTCTTCTCTAAGGAGGAGGAAATTGAGGTTTATAGTGACTGGGTGACCTACAGATCCACACAACAGAAAGGCAAGTGACGGGGCTGGGTCTAAAGCCGAGTTCCTGGTCACGAGTCTCTCCTGCCTCTAGCTTCCTGGTCAAAACATTTATCGCACCAAAATGTACTCTAGGTGTCAAGCTCCCTGCCATGCCCCAGAGAGATCTCCCGTACCACTCTTCTCTGTCTGTCACCCAGGTTCCCAATTCCAGCTCACCCCGGTAACCAACCTAAATATTCCTGCTTCTCCTTAGCCAGCTGTAGCCCCTGTGCCTCCAGGCTTTTGATCATAGCTTCTCCTAACTGGGCATTTTTCCAGGTCCTGGGGAGGGAAGGCAGATGGGAGAGAGGAGAGGAGAGGAGAGATACAAACAGTTAAACCAGAAGGAAGGCCCGCGGAGAAGGCGATGGTACATTTTTCGTATTAGCCTCTCTTCTGCCCTGCAGAATCCCGGCTCAGTCTGGCACCCAGAGCTCTGGGCACGCCACCAGCATTGATCAGTTACAGTAACTGGAGGCTGAGGTTGCAAAATGGGCCACAAGGACAGAGCCAAGAGCGCTCACAGAGGAGGGAAGGGACTGTTTCTCTCGTAACCTTCTACGCCACTGCATGTCCACCGCTTGATTCAAAGCTGGGTACTCGGTGTTATTGTTTGGGTTAGGAGATGAACTGGCTTGAACGGGCACGGGCTGTGTTGGTCACGTGGGTTCTGTGATTTGTAAACACCATCTCTGGTCCTTGCTAGGGTCAATGACAGGTCTGGGCAGGCAAGGTGGACATACTGGAGTGTTGAGTATGAGGAGCAATGATTGATTAACGCCTGAGAATTGGAGGCTAGTGGTGTCCACATCTGCCACCTGACAGTGCAGATGCCTACCCGAACTCACCACTTAGGGCACCCTCACAGACCATCTACAGTTCTTCCCATACACCTTAGTCAGCTCCCACAGCCCTGTCTCGGGACCCAGCAAAGAGGCAGGTGGGTAGGACCAGCCTCGCCCATCCGCTCTTATCCTGGCCCCTGAGAGACCCTGCTGGCAGACACTCAGACACTTACACCTTCCCAGACTCCTGCAGCATCTCGAGCCATTGCGTCTGCTCAAACTCAGACTCAGCAGCCAACAAGACATTTCCCTGCAGGGAAGAGGAGCCAGAGTAAGAGGTAGCCACTCCCAAGGAGAGGGAGGTGATCTCTTCTCTTCTCCCGCCCCCCAACAGGCCTGGGCCCTGACAGCCCTCTCATACAGGGCTGTTTCCAGGGGATCAAGACAAAGCTGCTTTGTCCTGTGGACCCTGGGCTAGGAGAAGGTCCCCACTCACATGGAAGTCCTGGTGTGAGATCTTCATGGCATAGGGCATGCTGGGCTCTTCTCTGGCCTCCACTAGGCAGCCGCCCAGTGGGATGACACCCTGAGGAAGAAGCAGAGCAGGCAGCTCCCACCCGACCCAGCTCACATCACTTAAGAGTCCCAGAAGGTCTTGGAGAAAGCCGAAGGCTTTGCTAAGGACCGCAGACGGGACCACATCCCAGGGTTATGATACCAAGGCTAGAACTGACTCCCAGAAGGAAGAGAGCTAGGGCTGTCTCTGTGACTCAGGAAGTGTGTGTGTGTGTGTGTGATGGGGGACCCAGTGAGCCCTGAGAGGATTTGTCTTCCACATTCTACCCAAATCACACAACAGATAGTTTCCTAGCATCCCCAAGTGTCCCCAGTGGGCCCTCCCTCGCTGTGGCCCTGGAAAGGAGCCTCCTTACCTTAGGGTGTATATTGAAGTATTTATTGGTTTCGAAGCTCTTTCTTTCACTCTCAGAGTAGTAAAGCAGGAAGCTTTCTTTGATGATAAAAAACCTAGAGGGAGGCATGAGAAAATGGTGAGATCTTGTGGGTCAAGAACACCCTTAGGGGCCCTGGATTCACATGGATAGGAGCCTGCGGGGACCCTAGTTCACACTGCACATGGCTCAGAGGGGCCTCAGATGACCTTCTGGATAGGCGGTGAAGGAGGGAGGCTCGTGGCTGGCTTCCAGGGATGCCCCTTCAGCTCAGGAGAAACCTGTTGTCCTTCTCCTCAGGTCCCTTTACCCTCTGAACTACCCAGTACTCCAGTCACGTGGGAGTGCCTGTCTAGGTGTGGATGGAGGATGAGACACATGGTTCTAAATGGGTGTTTTGGTGTAATCAAATGGAATCGGTATTCAACTGCTAATGTCTGCAGCCCTGATACCCCAAGGTGATCCTTGCATTCTCTTTTGTTTCTGACTGCTCACATCCTCTTTCTGGGACTCAAGTTTAACTTGGAATCAAAGTGGCCATGGTACTTTCTGGGTACCAGGGAAGCAAATCCTCCATGCCAACAGGTACATTCTTTGACCTGTCTTGGGGACCCTTACAGAACTATCAGTGGAAGCTTTAGGAAACCAAGTGTGCTCCAGGGGGAGCCCCAGTTAGGTCACAAAGCTCCTGAGGCTTAAAGACGCCAGAGTTCTCCTTCCTCCAGGGACAGTGCTCCGATGTGACCTGAAACGGATCTGGAGGGATCCTGAGTTGTGAGGCATGCACCTGTGCATGCATATGTGTGTGTGTGCGCATGCGTGTGTGTGTGCATGCGTGTGTGTGCATGCGTGTGTGTGTGTGTGCACTCCTGGGTGTATACACAGGGGAAAGGTCAGAGCAGCAACACAGTGGAACCTGCTAGGACAGACTCACAGTGGTCAACGGTGTAATTCTCTTAGCTGCTTAGCATTCAGTGACATGACACTGGAGACAATATAGGCCACAGCAGGAGTATTTGTACTATGAAAACCAAATGCTGCAGAATCACCCCAGGAGCCTGTTATTAAACCGTTCCCTTCTGGTGAGGAGCTTGAGAAGATGCTGGTGGCATCAAGAAGTCAGAGGACCCCTTCAGGTTCCACCATCCCCATGATCTTTCTTGTGACCACAGTGGCTTTGGGGCAGAGTGGAGGGGCAACCTGAATGGCTGCAGCAGCCCCTTTCCCAAGGGAACTTAAGCTCAACTTCATACTTTGTTGTGAGTTCATAATTTTGTTCTCTCACTCCCTTTTGAGATGGAGGTCTTGCTATGTTGCTCAGGATGGTCCTGAAATCATAGACTTGAGCAATCCCCCCATCTGCTGAGACTGCGGAGCAGTCTGACTTCAGCCCATGTCTGTGTTGTGCCAACCATCCAGTAGCCATAGAACAAATGCATTCCTGGCAGACACTGTGTTTGGGTTCCTGCACTTGGCACCAAGAACTCACTGGCACACCTGAGTGCTTCTTTATCCAGAGGGGGCCACTGGGTTCCTGGAGGGTAGGACCATGCCATATCCGTCCCATGGGAAAAACAGATGTCCTCCGATGGTTCCAAAAGAAAGTTAGAGTACGTAAGAGCTTAGACCTCCCATTTTCCAGCTTGGGGATGGGGAGTTTGGATAAAGACACTCAGCTCCCTGACCCTCAGTCTCTATAGAAGAGAAGTGAGGACACCTGCATTATGGGATGGAAGTGGGGACTGAATGAGACCGGAGTCATAACCTAGCCCATGTGTGAAGGACCCAAGGTGGGACGGAATGATGCATGGCCCGGCGAGGTCCCCTGCAGGAAATGCAGGCAAGCAGAATAGAGTTGCCTCCCCACTCCCACAATAGTGCAACACGAACCCCTTTCTATGTTGACTCCCTATCTGCAGAGGGATTCTGTATCTGCACACAGGATTTTTAGGCGGTATCTATGGTTCAGCAAACTAATAATTAGTCAGGACCACGATCTAATGGAACTGTGGCTTTATAAAAGAGGAACCTGGACTGGAGGTGTAGATAATGGTCGTTAGTTAATGGTCGTTTGTCTAGCATTCTCCAGTACCACGTAAACTAGCATTGTAGTACACACCGCTAACCTCAAACATTCAGGAAGTAGAAACAAGAGAATAAGAAGCTTGAAGTCAGCCTCCACTATGTAGTGAGTTCAAAGCCAGCCTTGGCCACATGAAGCTCACTAGTGGCACATGCCCCTAATCCCAGCATGTGAGTCTGAGGTCAGCCTGAACTACACAGAGAGCCCCTAAGTCAAGAAGAATCAGAGAAGGTAATTTCTGAAGAGAAGGCAGATACCTCGGACACAGGGCCCACAGGTATCAAGGTCCAGGGCTGAGCTGTACTTGGTTTTAAAAGGAACCAAAAGGCTGAAGCAGAGGAAGCAAGACTACAATCCCTGTATCTAGACTACCGAGGGCCTGGGGCTGCTGTGACAGCAATAATGGCAGCATTTACATTCACTAAGCCCTTACCGCCCCAACCTACCCGACTCCACAGTTACCCTCCCAGACAGGTGCCCTGTGCTTCCTATGTGCAGACACGGAGCAGAGAGCTGGCACAAGGACCTGAAACTCCCTGGTAGAGATTGGCTTCCTCTCAGAGTAAAATGACCGTGGGGGGGGGGCGGCTCAGCAGGAGTGACACGACCTGACTTACACTGTAAAAGGCTTGCCCTGGCTACTGCATGGGAAACAGGTTGCCCTGGCATAAACAGGGGATCTGCTAAAAAGCTATGGCCACACATCACTGTGTGTATGTAGAGTGGGTCGAGGCATGTAGAGTTCCCAGAGTCTTCCGGATACACAGGGCGTCCCCAGAGGTTACCCCCTTCCTAAAGCAAGCACAGAAAGGCAGAGGAGAACACTCCAGGCAGCCTCTGCTCCACGGCGGCCACACTTCAGCAGGCCGAGAGTCAACATGAACTGCCACATGAGCCATACCCAGCACAGACCTAGAGGCCGAGGGCCAGCTCCTACCCACCGTGGCTCATCTGACAAGACCCACAGGATCTTTGCTTGTCAAAGAGCCGTGGTGGTGGCCGCTTTGGTTGATGTCTTTTGGCTTCCTCTCAGCAGCTGAGACCCTTGCAAGTCTAGAAAGGCGTTCCTCTTCTCATACCTTTCTTCAAAGTCGCCCTGTTCTAGACACCCTTGTTCAGGAGGCAAGGCTGGAGCAGCCCATTTGGGGCCCTGCAGAGCTGGACAGCCAGTGTAAGGGCTGGTCACAGCCAATATGTAATTTCTACGTATTAGCTTCTGTGAGACTCAGAGAGCCTGCCTCTCGGACCAATGCTGGAGGTGAGGGCTTTTACTCCCGGTTCACAGGTGAGGAAAGAAGGGCTTAGATGTGAGGTAACGCACAAAGCCCTACGACTGCAGACGAAGGATCGGAGCCCAGGACCATCAGGCCCTCTTCCCACCCCCTATATGGCTCATGGAGCTGCCGTCCTGGCTCAGGACACACACCCAGAAGAGAGACATAGGAAAACAAACTGCAGTAGGCAAGGTGGGAGTCCATCAGATACCAGCAGTGGTGGGCAAGGATCTAGTCTTCTAGGCCTCAGGTCCCGTGAGGAGCTTGAGAATGATAATTAAAGGCTATTATTTCTCCTGCCTGGGAAGGAGGGAAATGAGCCTCATCACACAGAGGCTTAGCTCATAGCAAACACACGAGAAAAGTTCATTAGTACTCTGATTACTGCGATTCCTTATCCTTAAGCTCAGCGTCTGTGCAGCCACTCTGCCCCCCTTCCCATTCGGGCTCACACAGCAGCTACCGAAGAGAACATGGCTGCAGTCCAACTGGCTGGCTTCTTGCTTTCCAAACACATGCCACAGCCATGTCCTCCTCCTGTCTGAAGCCTCCCCACCTCCAGGGCCAACATCTGTCCTTGGAGAAGCTTTACTGTCAGCTTTTGCTTTTAGCTCTCCTGGGTTACAGGAAGCCTGGAGTGTGTGCACAGGAAAGGTTTCATGTCAGTCCTGGCTGCCTCCTCTCTCTAGAGGGTTTATTACCACTACTATCATTATTATTTTATTATTGTGTCTCAGATGGTCAGGCTGGTCTCAGAATCACCGTATAGCTGATGCTGACCTCGAACCTCTGATCTTTCTGCCTCCACTCCTGAGCACTGTGGTTATTTATAGGCGTGAGTCGCTATGCATGGTTTATGGAGCGCTGAGAACGGAGCCCAGGGTTTCATGCGCGCTACACAAGCAATCTACCAAACGAGCCAGGCCCTCAGCCCCTACCCTGCTATTTCCTCCAGATGGAAGAATTTAGAAGTCAGCAAGGCATGCCCTTCGCTGCACATACTGTATTGAAATTATCTTATTTAATGTCTCTACGTGATGGGTGGGATTTTTGTTTCCTAGTACACTGGTGAGGAAACTGAACCACAGTGAGACCGAGCCGCTGGTGAGTGGTAAACTCGGAGCTCTGTTGCCAAAGCTCAAGTTCTCAGCTGCCTGTGCCCTGTGCTGCCAGTACTGCCCACCACCACTACTTGCTGTTGGCTCCCTTGAGCCGATCACTGTGGAACGGCTGCAGTGCCCACTTGGCTCAGGTCAGAGGCCTGTTATGGTGCCACTTGCCCCACCTAAGCAGGTACCGTGCTGGGCCCTGACAGCTCAATGAATCCCTGCCCCGAAGGAGCTTAAGAGTTGAGTGCAGGAGAGAGCATGCGGAAAGAAAGAATTTTAAAACGGCTCATGTATATCAAGCTCCTTCTTGGCACCAGGCCCTGTTTGATCAACCACAGGTTGTGTAATAATTCATTCACTGCTTATTCAAGGTCGGTGATGAAACTGGAATGCAGAGCAATTGAGGAATATGCCCCAGATCACACAATGGGTGAACGGGGAAGCTAATAGTATTGAGCGCTAGACTACATGGTGACACCGTTAGGCCATGGGAATTCACAGCTGCGCAGAGTGCCAGATGCCGTGACCCTGCGGAGCACCGGGGCGCATTGGCGTGACGTTATAACACAGCAGGGTGCGTGGCAAAGTTACACGGCACCTGGAGAATACACGGAGATTACAAAGGACCAGGACACGGAGCAACAAGGGAGATCGGTGTGAAAAGCAGAAGCATGGCCTCCCAGGGCATGAATGGCTTAGGGTTTGACTGAGGTCTGAGCGAAGGTCATAACGGATGAGGGTTTTGAAGAAGAAATGTCTTAAGAAGTTGGAGGAGGGGCTGGAGAGATGGCTCAGAGGTTAAGAGCACTGACTGCTCTTCCAGAGGTCCTGAGTTCAATTTCCAGCAACCACATGGTGGCTCACAGCCATCTATAATGAGATCTGGTGCTCTCTTCTGGCATGCAAGCATACATGGAAGGAATGTTGTGTACATAATAAATAAATAAATCTTTAAAAAAAAGAAATTGGAGGAGCTAGGAGAGGAAGCGACGTTCTCTAGACATAGAAGGGCATCTGTGGAGAACAGTGGCTCAAGGTTACAAAACATGTCTGCTGTTATACGCAGATTGGTGAGGGGTGGGGGGCAGAGGGTGGGTCTGTAAACAGGGGCTGAGAGCGGGCAGCCCTCACACCCTGCACAGATAGCAAACAAGTCCTGGGAGGTCAATTTGTGGTTTTAGGATTAAGAGAGGTGGCCTTGAGGAGGTCACATCTGGGCAAAGGGGTGAAGCAGTTATTAGAAGGTAAAAATCAACAGAACACACTGAATAGTCAGACAGGAGCAGGATGACCTAAGTCCCATGACACCACGATCAGGATGTTAGTCTGAGTGACAGGATGACACACAGGTGTCATCTAACATGATGGATTTTCCGAACATGGCTTCCCTTCCCTCTACCCTGTGCTCTGAGTCTAAGGGCCCCGCCAGAGCTCAGTGGTTAATGCTGGTCTCCTGAGAGACCCAGTGGAGGCAGAGAAAAATGTTCAGAGCACACATGCCATGTATATCAGACAGGCCTTGTTAAAGAAGGACCAGCCTGGGGCTGGAGAGATGGCTCAGTGGTTAGGGCTACTGGCTACTTTTCCAGAGGACCTGACCTGGGTTCAGTGCTCAGCACCTACATGTCAGCTCACAACCATCTGTAACTCCAGTTCCAGAAGATCCAATTCCCTCTGTAGCACAGCATACACAAGATGTACAGATATACATGCAGGCAGAACACACACACACACACACGATACAAGTAAGTAAAATCTTAAGAAGAAGAGGAAGAAGAAATAGAAACAGCAGCAGCAGTCAGGCTGGTGTCCTGAGCTCCCTGAGCTTTGTTTTGGGGATGTAGACCGCATGAGAGAAACCTGAAGTTGGGGACATCACGTAGGACAGAAAGGAGGTGTGATAGTGAGTACAGAGGAGGGAGGGTCTCAGTAGCATGCATGAGTCTGGGTCAAGAAAGTGGCATTGCCTGTACGTTGTATACATACATACAAGCAAGCATGCACAAACAGATGTAAATTTTTAAAAAATGATAAAACCTAAAGTCAAGACACAAAAACTGGAAGAAAAGTGTCAAATAAAATAGGCTTCAGAAAACAGAGCAAAGAGCCCGTCTGAAGGCGCTTGCCCTTAGTGATGTCCCTCAGCTTCCATATTGGCACACTTTCCCTTGGGAGCAGAGCAAACTCTGCTCCCAAGACCATGTGATTAGCGGTAGGAGGCAGTGGAGAAGGCTGGGCTGCAGGTGGGGAGGCTGAGGAACCAGCCCAGTTCCACCTAGAGTATACACCACCCGACAGCAGGACATCTGAGTTCAACACCTCCTGGGGATTATAAGATACAGGACTTAGACTTCTGTGGGAGTTTTCGTCTTGGAGCCAAGGTTATCTCGCTCCCAAGAGGGCAGCAGGAACCTACCCAAGGTCTGGTTTCCCAGCAAAAAGAGGGCGAGCCAAGTTCTGGAGGCACTATGGTGGTCTGTGGAGGCCGAAAACTGCAGGTCCATTTCCACCTTGTCTGCTGGTCAGAGAGTTTGGAGATTGACAAGCATAGTTGTATGTCCTAATGCAGGAGGTGACTGATTCTTTTGAAATTGAGATAGCTCAATACCATCCTGACGGGTGGTCAGGATGTGTATGGTCAGGATATGTATGCAAATGAATTTCTGCTCCTTCTGTTGTAACTATGAGGTCACCTAGGGAAGGGTGGTCTTCAGCGGCTGTGACTTAGAGACCTTAGCTACCTAGAGGACAGAATGCTAATGATTGGATGTCTCAGAGTGATAAGGCCATTAGCTGTGTGAGTTATCCTATGTATCATGTTAATAAAGTCTTTTGTTACCTTCTCCCCTGGTTTACATTGGGTATAAAAGCTGTGGAAAAATAAACGCGGGTGAATTTCAGGATTTCAGTCACTGGAATGCCCTCCTGGTACTTTCTATGTTTTCTGTCTTATTATTTTTATGCGTCTTCATATTCTTTATTTATATTTCCTCAATTTTCACGCCCCTACCCTGGTAAGAAGTCGGACCGGTCCTCCACAGTGGTCTCAGAAGGGCATCCCATGAACCTCTTGCTGACCCTGACTGAAGCCAAGACCGTCCCCTCCTCCTGTTCACAGCACCTAGGTCTCTGCATCTGCATTTCTGCTACCCCCAGGGGAAGGAGGGAACTGTGGTCATGTCCTCTAGACCCCTCTCAAACCCCTCCTTTCTTTGTTATTGAACTCTTCGATTCCCTTCTTCTCTCTGTCCAGAGGAAAGTAAACTAACGGGGAAGGCATCTTCCCATTGCAGTGTGGGCAAGGTGGGGATAGAGGTGGGGGGACACTGGATGCTCCCCCTAAGACAGAGCCTGAGGAGGAGAGGTTTTACAGAAATCAGCCAGCCACAGCCAGTTCCGTCCTGCCTAATGGTTGGTTATTTATGCAGCCCCGGGCCTTTCCAGGCTCTTCTCCTCGGCTGCCCACTCGGGCATCGATCTCCCTAATGGCAAGTCTCTGCAGTGGTGGGTGTTGGCTGCCCTGTCCCGAGCCTTCCTGTGGCCACTAATTAGCTGAGGTCCAGAGACTGCACTTCACAGATGGAAAACTGGAGCCTGGAGGCCCTGCCAGGAAGCAGGAGAAGGCTGGCTGCGCTGGGCATAGGGCCTGATTCTAGACTCTGACTTTCTGACGGCTGTTGCTGACTCAAGGGGAAATCATGTGTGTTGGGGTGGAAGATGGGGAGGTATTCTCCCAGAGGTGGGAACACAAAGGTCTAGAGCTGGCAGGTAAGATGCTGTTTTCTGAGCCGCAGAGCAGGGAGAGTCTTTGCATGGTGACAGCTCCGGAGCGAGGAAGGTGAGGGGTTGGCAGTGTCTTTCAAAGGGTACAGAGCTTGGCTTGGCACTGGGACCTATTGTTTTGACTTAGACTGGCTTGTTTTGGGTAACTGTAGGGACAGCAGATGGAGTTTATCAGGGCCCCAACCCAAGTGCCCCAGCGTCTACAACCATGACTTTAGCTAAGAGGTTTTCTGACACTTATCAGCCCCAAATCAACTGTGTATGCAGTAGCCAGGTCCCCCATACTTGCAGGGGAAAGAGGACCAGGAGACCCAGCTAAGGGATCCCAGGCACCTACCACATCGTGGAAGCCACCAGGTGAAAATGCCTGGCGGGAAAAGTCTTAAACAAGGACAAAAGTCAGGCCTGTTGGAGAGAGAAGACCGCCTGAGGTAGCTCAGGACATTCTGCACAATTGCTACCCCACCCCCCACCAGTGCTCAAGCTCACAGGACTCACACAAGTGCTGAGGCAGAGACTGGATGCTCCTGGCCCTCGGTGGCTGCAGTTCCAACGGTGCAGCCCTGGGAATCTCTCATAACCTTCACCCTGCTCCAAGCCTTCACTTAAAGTATCAGAGAGAAACAACTTGGGAGGGACTGGGGGGCGGGCTGGATCCCATTAAATCCCCAAGAGAAATCAGCCAGAAGTAATAAAAGGGTATGAAACGTCTCCGCAAAATGTGAAAGCCCATCCACACCTCCATTTGTTCTGAGGTCTTACAGGAATAGTAAATTATTCATCAAAAATCGAACATCTGCACTAACCACCACTACCACCACAAGCACATGACCTGTGGTCCTGAAAACATCCGAGGCACTCAGACTCCTGGTGTGGGATGGAGAAAGGGCTGTGGTCCCAGGAACAGTCCCGCCTTCCAGGGAGGGGCTGGGACAACATCTTGAGTTTTCTAGACACCAGCAGTAAATCTCAGTTAGCTTGTGGATGAAAGCGATGCAGAAAACGGTCCATTGCCCTTGCAGCCAGCTTTGGGAGGTTCCTGCACGTTCAGGTCTGGTTCTCCTTCTCCCAATACCTGTCAGGGCCATTTGTACGTAGAAAGTCGTGTTTATCTAGGGCCTTCATTTGGAGTTGCTGAGAACGGGGCCAAGGTTGCTCTGTGTCTCCACAATACCACTCCAAACATCAGGAGTGGACAGGACCAATCTACCGTCTCTCCCACTCCAACTTCAGGGGTGTGTGTGTGTGTGTGTGTGTGTGTGTGTGTGTCAAGGCACAGTTGGAGGGGTTGTGGTTACAGGTTTGTGGTTCACTCTGCTGAGTGTTACAGAACGGCGAGTGATCTGCTGAACAGAGAGTGGCACCCGTCTCCCAGCCCACTTTAAGCCTCAACAAAGGGATGGAATTGGCTGTGGAGGTCTCTGCAGAATCTCTGGTTGTTGATGGGAAGTCTCCTTCTGCCAGTCTCGCCCAACTAACCTCAGTCTCTCTAGCCCACATGCAGCCTCGCCACTTGGGACCCGGGACTCAGTTCATTCCTCAGGGAATTCCCGGCCACTATAGGCCCGTGATTTCATTCTAACTTCGGCGGCCAATTAAAGTCGCATCTTGGGGGACAGCACAGGGAGAAACTAGCTGGGCGGGCCAAGGTCACAGAGGAAGGCTGAGGCAGGGCGGTGACTAGAGGAGTGGGAGGGGTCCTGAGGCCCCGGGGCTCCCTCCCAAGGCCGGGAGGGGAGGTCTCCCGGGACCGGGGCACTCACTTACCGCCGGGACCACTTGGCCGACGATCTCCCGAACGGCCGCTTCCACAGAACCCCGTAGAGCTGCACTTTGGTGCTGATGTCCAGCGCGTCCGCGTCGGCCTGCTCCAGGGACGGCGATGGCGACACAGAGTTAGACTTGGACGTGAACATCCTGTCTCGGAGGCGCTGCCCCGGCCGTGCCCACCCCTTTCCTGGGACTGGAAGGAACAGGGAGGACAGCGAGAAGCAGTGGGCGCGACGAGCAAAGGCAGCTCGGGACGCCGTCGGGGCTCGTCCCAGCGAGCGGAGCCGGACGCCGAGGGGCGCGGGAACCGCAGCCAGCGCCGGGGACGAAGCTCGGGAGCGCCGCCGGCTGGGAGGGAACTCCGCCGGGAGGGCAGCTCCGCCGCAGGCTCGGAGCATCCACTCTCCCCCACCCACCCCCTCCCGCGCAGGCAGCCTCAATTCTGGTGGCCTGGATTGGCTGGGAGTGGCAGGTGAGCCGGCCGCAGGCCAGCGGCGAGCGCCAATGAGGGCAGGCGCCAGCTGCAGAGCCCAGCTCAGAGAGTCCTCAGGGTCCCGGCCAGTCGCTCGGCCGGGGATTTGGCCATTGCACCTCCCCACCCCCACCCAGGCGCCCAGCACTCTCCCAGTTCCTTTTAATCTGTGGCCCCTACATCAAAACACCGGCTGGCTAGGTGTGCTTGGTGAAGAGCAGGGTCATTCCGCAGGCACCTGCTCGCCTCTGGGCGTGGGCGTGGTGTTAGGGAACTGGACTTGTGATTCCCACTCAGGCTTTCAATGACTCTGCAAACCTCTGGACCGTGTTTTTCTCACCTTTAAAACAGAGACGCTTGCTTGGGGCAGGCCGGTGTCCAGCTAAGACTTTTTGGTAAGTGCCCAAGGACCCGCCTCGTAGAAAAGGTTCCAGCAAGGTTCAGGACCCTTCCCTGTCCCCACAGGTGGGTTTCACTTTGCACTACCGCGCGACCGTCTGTCTGGACCAGATCGAATTTCTTTTCCTGGCACTTGGCAGTCTGTGCTGGCATTTGACACTCGGCGTCAATCTCAAACTGTCAAGGCAGCTTGTGTTCGTGATTTATCTGTGCTTCTCCCGTGCTCCACAGGGCTAGGTGCTCTGTCCCCTTCCGCTCTCAGTGAGGGCATTTGTTGACCGCGTCACTCTGGCCCGGCCTTTGGCCTCCTTCTCTGTAGGTGGAAAGGCACTCCAAAAGTGAAGAAAAGGGTTTGTTTGCATACTGGAGCCGCACCCCTCCCTCTCCCCCTTCGAGTCTTTTCCAGGTTAAGAACCCACCAGCCCTCAGAGGCAGTCATAATTCACCGAAGCCCTTAGTGAAATAAAGAAGTGGAACTGCATCAGAGTTAACAAATAAATGGGTAATCTGAGAGCCAAATCAGTTTGCGCAGACTTGATGAATTTGTCCTGAGCAAGCAACATTGAGGTAGTTAGTATACCATATCTCCAGGGCTCATTTGATGAATGCGAACCCCATGTAACCACTACCCAAAGCAAGAGACAGACCTCTCCAGCCCTAGCACCCTTTCCAGTCAACCCACAATCTTGCCTCACTTTTCACCATTTGCTTAATTGCCTTAAAATATTTGTCCTGAATGCCTTAAAAAAGGCCTCCTTCAAAGACCTCACTGTCACCTTCTCTTGTTTTCTTATCTACCCAGCTTTTCTTCTTTACAGTCTATAAAACTGTTTTTATCTTCCCGAGAATCAAGCCTGGGGCCTTGTGAATGCTCAGCACCTGTCCAACCATTGAATTGCATTGTCCCTTGCAAGCGCTAGGTCCCTTGCAGGTGCTCAGGCCCTTGCAGGTGCTCAGGCCCTTGCAGGTGCTCGTTTATAATCCTGATCCTGGATACTTTACTACTTTAGGAGGCCTGCTCTTCTTAAACACAACAAACCAAACACACACATACACACACACACACACACACACACACACACACAATGGAAACTTGCACCAAGAGCCTTTGGTACTGTGTTCCCTGGAGCACAGCAGGACCTTGAGTTGCAGGTGGTAAACACAGGAAGCAGGGGCACACTGGCACGTGCTTTTCCAGGGAAGCAGGTGGCAAAGGCACCTGACTTGCGTCCAGAGGTTTCTATGGCTTCTGGGCTGCCTTGCTGAGGCAGCGGTAGCAAGGGTGTCCACTGCAGTGGGAGTCACTTGGAGTCAGAATCCTGGCAGCACCGGACAGCAGCAGCTAATGCTCTGTGGCATGAGCAGGGTTCTAGAAACTTCCCCTCAAGCCTGGCTCTCTGGCCTTCCTGATAGCCTTTTAGCAAACTCATTCTCTCTCCTGAATCAGGTCAGTGGCAGCCCTGGCCTTGTGGTAAAGGCCAGTGATGAACTTGTGTGCTATGGCACGGGTAGAGCCACTCGTGAGAAATTTTTCAAGGGGAGGGGCTGAAAAAGCCCCGGGGGCTCCTGGGAAATGTTCTGTGATGGAAGATATGGAGCCTAGGTCCAGTCTTGCCCATTTCATCTGCGTGCAGGCTATCTGGACAGCCTTCAACTAACAGTTAAGGTTGGGTAGAAAAACTGTAAGAGGCAAGCAATGAGATACTTCAGCGGTTCTCTTCCCCTTGTCAGACAGCCCGGATGCCCCAGGTCAGGCATGGGCAAAGCTTTTCTGTTCCCACTGTGTTCTCTGCCCAGTTGACGGGCATCTTAGTGCACAGAGTCCTGGAGAAGACAAACAAGCCAGGGCAGAGGACGAGTAGGTGGGGGGTGCCCAAGCATTCTTTTCTTTATTCCTCTCTTCCTTTCTTTCCTAGAGATAGGATCTTGCTATGTAGCCCAGTGTAATAGGAGACTGTTGTTTCCTGACAGCTCAGACCCGAATAACCATATAGAAACCATATTAATTACAACACTGTTTGACTGACGTCTCAGGCGTATTTCTAGCTAGCTCTTACATCTTAAATTAACCCATTTCTATTATTTTATATTTTACCACAAGGCTCGTGGTTTATTACTCCTTGCTTCTTGAGCAGTTTACATGGCATCTGCCTTCTTTGGCAGCTACATGGAGTCTCTCTGACTCCACCTACTCTCTCTCTATATATCTCTGTTTGGATTTCCCACTTGGCTTTACTCTGCTAAGCTATTGGCCAAAACAGCTTTAGTCATCAAACAATAAAGCAACACATATACAGAAGGATATCCCACATCGGCCCAGCTGGTCTCAAATTTGTTATCCTCCTGCCTCCACTTCTGGAGTGCTTGGCCAGCATGACCCAGTCTTAGCATTCAAATGAGATTAGGGTGGAAACTCAGGCTAAAGGTTGCCCCCAGCCTCCTGGTTAGGTGTGGCTCTGCTGTTCTCAGTGTACCGTTTCCAGTTCACCTAATTTAGCTAACTGTGGCAAGAGGCTAAGGACAACACTTTAATCTTCATTGCCCCATGAGAAAAATCAAGATGAAAAAGGTTTATCTAACTTTTAATTCAAGTCTGGTGAGTCATATGTCCCCAGGAATTTATGCACTTCTAGATCTTCCATCTTTTTGGAACACAGGTTTTCAAAAATATTCCCTAATAAGCCATTTGTATCTGTTGGAACGGCACCACGCCCCACCCCCATGCCTTTCATCTCTCTTTTCTCAGACAATGTCTCACTGTGCAACCCTGACTGGCCTGGAAGTCACTGTGAAGACCAGGATGACCTTGAATTTACAGATATCCTCCTGCCTCTGTCTTTAGAGTACTGGGGTTAAAGGTGTGTGCCACCATTCCTTGCTCTAATCTTCCTAATATTGATCTTCTCTCTTTTTCTGATGATGAGTTTTGCTAGGCTTCCTTAGCCTTATTCCCCAGGGTGTGCTATCCGCCTGTTCACAGCCCCATGACACAGGACAATCAGATGTGATGGGAGTCAAGTACAGCAGAACTTAGTTTATTACTGTGTCAGCTTATATAGGTTAAGTGACATCGTGTGATGTAGGGGTAACTTCAGCCAATGAGAGACAGCCAAGCCCTCCCTCTGGCTGGAGGGATATTTTGCTGTCTCATCCTTGGTAGCTTTGAGACTCCCTCAAACACAAGCCAGGCTTTTCTCTGTCCTACAGGGCCTCACCCTGAGATAATTTTAGCTCAACAGAGTTTGGCTAAAAGCTGTCAATCTTGTTTGTCTTTCCAAAGAGCAAACTCTAGGTGTGGGGAGGTGGCCCCGTGGTTAAGGGCATTTGTTGCTCTCTTGTAGAGGACAAGGGTTCAATCCCCAGCACCACATGGTGGCTCACAACCACCGGTAACTCCAGTTCCAGGGGATCCGGTGCCCTCTTGTGACCTTTGTGGGCACCAGGCACACATGTGGTACACATACATACATGCAGGTAAAACACTCATGCATATAAATAATCTTTAAACTATTTCAAAAGAACTGTTTCACTTTTTATATCTTCTCAGTGTGTTTCATCACTATCTTCTGGTTTGGCGTTTGGCTTGTTCTTGTTTGCTAAGACCCTGAGGTGCACTGTTTAGTTGTTTCTGTGTTTTAAGTTATCTACCACTCAGGAGAAACACTTCTGTAATCCAAGTATTCGGGAAGCTGAGGCAGGAGGATCACAACTTGGAGATCAGACTGGGCTACATAATGAGACAGTGTCTCAAAAAAAAAGAAAGAAAGAAAGAGAAAGAAAGAAAGAAAGAAAGAAAGAAAGAAAGAAAGAAAGTTGGGCTGGAGAGATGGCTCTGAGGTTAAAAACACTGACTGCTCTTCCAGAGGTCTTGAGTTCAATTCCTAGCAACCATGTGGTGGTTCACAACCAGGTATAATGAGATCTGGTGCCCTCTTCTGGTGTGTAGGCAAACATGCAGGCAAAACACTGTATAAAAGCAAATCTTTACTTTTTTTTATTTTTATTTTTTTGGATTTTTCGAGGCAGGGTTTCTCTGTAGCTTTTTGGTTCCTGTCCTGGAACTAGCTCTTGTAGACCAGGCTGTCCTCGAACTCACAGAGATCTGCCTGCCTCTGCCTCCCGAGTGCTGGGATTAAAGGCGTGCGCCACCATCGCCCGGCTTAAATATTTATTTATTTGTTATGTATACAATATTCTGTCTGTGTGTATGCCTGCAGGTCAGAAGAGGGCACCAGACCTTATTACAGATGGTTGTGAGCCATCATGTGGTTGCTGGGAATTGAACTCAGGACCTTTGGAAGAGCAGGCAATACTCTTAACCACTGAGCCATCTCTCCAGCCCCTAATAAGCAAATCTTTAAAATAATAATAATAATAATAATAATAATAATAATAATAATAAGTACTCAAGGTTACATAGCTAGGCTTTCCCTGAAACATGCTGGGTCTGTGTATGCATGTGGAGTGGGGCAAGCCGTCGATCAGACATCTTGATTTGCTCTGAATCTAGACTTTCCCACTGCAGTTCACGGCTTGTCAACTGCAGCGGGAACTCGGGAGATGCTGAGCCACTTCGAGTGTTCTCCATGTTAGTCATTTCTCAATTGAGAACTTACCTGAGGGTTCTTTAAGGGACCATTCTTAGGATGTATTTTATGTGTTCATATGTTTAGTTGGGTGAGTTTTGTGTGCACCATGTGCAGGCAGGAGCTTGAGGAGGCCAGACGAGGGTGTCAGACCCTCTGCAACAGGAGCATTAATACCCCACTCTACGTGAACAGCAGCCTCCAGGAAGGAGCTGTGTGAGGGAAACCTGATGGGGTTGCAGCTCTCGGCTCTTAGACACAAGACCAACTTCCACACTCAGAAAAGACAATAAAACATTCCCTGAAGGGAAATGGAGACAAGGGCTTCCCTGGCATCAGACCCTGACTGGGCTGCAAAAGCTTCCAGGAACATGTTCAAAAGTGGCCCTTCCCACAGTGTCGTCTCCTCAGCTCCCTACCCACTCTATCCCGGAGCCCCACCCTCGGGCACACAGACCATTTCCACTGTTTCCAGGCCTGCTCCAAGTGAAGGACCCAGGAATGATACAACCTGGTTTCTCTGAGCTACCACAGCACCCAGGTATCCCTTTAGGAGCAAGAAGTAGAAGTGGTTAGCGCTGGGATTCAGGTCCAGCCTGGAGCAACATCATGTCTCCCTCCGCTAGCACTAATTGCCGGACTCAGGCTACCACCTGGGTCCCACATAAGGGCTGTGGCCACTTCCAGATAAGCTTGGTACAGTGGATCTTTGCCTGTTCTACTCCAGCCCACTGCTTGGTTTGGGGTTTCTCTCCAGTGACTGCTGCTCTTCTTGACATGAGCTACTTCAGGACAGGGATGGGTATGTAGTAGGCACAGGACAGGGACGGGTATGTAGTAGGCACAGGACGGGTATGTAGTAGGCACAGGACAGGTATATAGTAGGCACAGGACGGGTATGTAGTAGGCACAGGACAGGGACGGGTATGTAGTAGGCACAGGACAGGTATATAGTAGGCACAGGACGGGTATGTAGTAGGCACAGGACGGGTATGTAGTAGGCACAGGACAGGGACGGGTATGTAGTAGGCACAGGACAGGTATATAGTAGGCACAGGACGGGTATGTAGTAGGCACAGGACGGGTATGTAGTAGGCACAGGACAGGGACGGGTATGTAGTAGGCATTCCACAAGTACGAACCGCATTGACACATCTTTGCCCAGTGGTTTTCTGCTTTTGTTGGCCAGTAAATGGAGACCAGTGTCTCAGACTCATAGTTTCCTCACCTCTAAGATGGAATCTGTGGCGTCTCTGAGAATGATGTGGAAGTCACCTTTCCACGGCAGACTTTGAGAGCCAAGGGTAATCACTGGGCTTCTGAGGGCCTTGTGTTCTCAGCCTTTGCTGCTCTCCGCTCCCAGCTTGAACTCTCCCCCACATAGCAGGATCCT